AAAAAACTTTTGGAATGTTATTACTAAAATTAAAACACGTTTTCTGGCAAGGGTTTCAGAAAAACTAATAAGTACTTTTTTACCTGGGAAGGGGCAGATGTACACCGGCTATATCAGATATTTCATTCAATGTCTTAATTAAAAGTCACTGTATATACATTGTGCATGTATGTATTTATGTAATGCAGAAATTGTAGTACTTGTAAAGTAGACCAAACACCAGGGCTGTATAAATAACAAGAGCTGTACAATTTGTTTGACAGTCCTTGCCACCTATTTTGCAAGTGATAGAATCTTGTAACTGTTTGGCTCGATAGATGTTCATGTACATGTATAATTCTCAATGTTTTTGTTTATCCCATTTTTCAGGATGAACTTCCAGAAGGCATAAAAGCTGAGGTATGCTCCCTTAGGATTTGTTTTTTTTACCAGTAATTTTTATTGAGACTATTTCAGAGCTGAGCAGTGGCCAAGATGGTGAACCAAATCAATAAATACAATAATTATATGAAAAAGTATCAGTTGTGACAGCTACTGTACAGTAGTCAATAGCACACCATTTTGTTTCAATTATTTCATTGATTCATCACTGTGTAGAAATGTGTTCAACATGTACATCTGATCATCTATCTGATCACGTGATAGATGATAATTTTAGAGCAATTTTCAACTGAGGGTCGTAACACCTTTAAACCAAACCAATTACTTACCAATTAGCAAGACTGCTCACCGAATCTCAAATTGTGGTTAAACCAAAATCAAAATCAATGTACATGTAATTGCATGATTACCTTTGACACTCAATTGAAAACCACTCTACAATGATTAAAAGAGGTTTTGACGTGATAAGTGTCGAAAATAATTCCTTAAAACTGAACATACCACTTTGTCATCCTATGACAGCACAAGTAAAACCACTTGACTGTATTCCTTTTCCTACATTTTGCATTTGGCTATATGTCATTGCTTTGAGCTTTAATTTGGTTGATTTGTTCATTGTGTGGTCTGTGTCCTTTGTGATTGGTCAGAGTGATAACTTTGGGTTTGGTTGTATAACTCAAATGAAAACTGCTCTAAAAGCGGATTCTGAGGTAATTTAGATCATGTGTAAATTATTTTGCATTTTATCTTATCCTGCTATATA